ATCGAACTCATGCGGAAGTGGCTTTAGCTTCTCAGTGCTGTGCTTTAACCCGCTGCGCCACCAGGGAGGGCCACCACTGGCTACTCTTTTAAAAAATAATTTAAACATAAACATTTGGAAAGAAACCAGTGCTTATTTTGGTGATGACTTGTAACTGCCACCTAATTGTTCTGCTTTATATTCTTTTTCAAATTTAAAAGCAAGGCATGTCTGTTTTCTTTCTGTTATATTGCATCATATATGAGGTTAACATACATTGATTATGTTAATTTTAATCCTTTGGGAAATATGAATTTCTAAAATCTGAATGTTGGTTGTCAATTTTGCCTAGGAGAAGAAGTGAGGCTCAACTGCACTGCTTCTCTGAATGAAAATGACTTGATTTACTGGGTCTTTGACAGTCGAACTGCAAAGGAAGAAAGTACCACAAAAATTCAGTATGTATATGTGGCAATACTCACTATGCTATGTAAAGAAGGTATTAGATAATATACACATGATATAAGATCACCAGGCTCTTGAATGACTGATTGGATATTTGGGATAATGTCACAGGTAATTTAACCTATAGCTAAATTATTTTCCTCTCTTACAGGGTTAAAGAAGGGAAATGGCAGGCTTCAACAATATTAGTAATTAAGAATATCAATGAAAACAACCTAAATGCCTCATATAAATGCTCTGTGATCAATGAGGGAAGCACAGATACCAAAACATTCATCTTGTTGAAAAAAGGTGGGAGAAAGTTTTATTTGTAGAAACTTAGACTTTTACCCCTTGATGCTCATTACTTCCTCATTTTATAAACTAAGAACCAGACTCCTGAGAATTGAAGTAATCTAGAAGGATCATAGGTATTCAGTGGCAGAATTCCTTCTCAGCCTTTGCTGGGACCCCATGGCCCCTCTCTAATAGAATGAAAACACCATGCTTATCCTTTTTCTCTTAGTCATAGGACAATGCTATACAGAAATCAGGAGTCCAGAGCAGGGAGGTAGATGGATCTTAGGGTGGAGATGCCGGCAGGTGAAGGTTGTGGGGAGGAGAGATAGAACATTGTTTGTGCAACCAGAACAACCAAAGTAAACCATGGCTCGGTGTAGGAGGGGCCAGTGTTACTGCATGTAATTGCTGCCTCAGGCACCCTCATCTGGAACCCTGGCACTGGGGTCTTTAAATGTGATCTTTCATTCAATAAAGATTGACCAAGGTCTCCCTTCCTTAAGGGACACCTGGACTTGTCAAGTGGATAGTTGATGGCTCAGACCAGCAGACTCTTTAAGTTTTCAGTGTCCACCGTATGGAACACAGGTCAAAGAGTCTCCCACTTCTATACTTCACCAGAAAAGTATAACCTCGAGTCCCTTGGACTAATAACTGCTCCTAAGTAGCTGAGACTAGGGCTAAAAAGCCATTCTCCTTGTCATTATTCATTCCCTGTCATTACTCATTCCCAACCTGGGCTAATAACTCCATGGCTATTCAGGGGCTGGCTATATTCAAAGTTCACTTATTCAGGAACTCTGGCAGCCTATTTACATCCTAATAACTAACTTTACTAGAAAAATCATTCCTAAAAACGATGTAATCTAAGATGTCAAGCTTGTGTATGTTTATATTCTTTGACCTAGAAATACACCCACCACCATTAGAATCTGCTTCTGAAACCAGTGAAAGTATGAATAAAGTTTTATGTCTGTGTTCATTGTAGCATTATATGTAGCTATGAAAAATGAAATCTAAGGTTGAGATTGGGGTATTATGTTACTATTTTAAAGACCTAGAGAAATATTCATAATTTAATATTAAGCAATGAACAGTGATTATCAAATAAACCCAATTACTAAAAAAATTGGGGGAATAAAAGAAAACCCAGAAGGAAATTATTTGCTCATGTTATCAGTGGCCATAATTACAGTGTGGGGCAGTTTTTAAAACTCATCTTACCCCATATACTACTTAATATTTTCTCAGATTGTTCATAATTAGCACAAACTGAATCTTTTTTTTTTTTTGCCAAAGTACACTTTTAGGGAAAAAAAAAGCCAAAATTTCACACTGTGTGCCAGGCACTATGTTAACTACTTATGTGTAATATCTCAAAATCCCCCTAAATATTAACCTTCTAAGTGAAGCAGCAACTATTCCAAGCTCCACATTATGGATGAAGATACCAAGGTAAGCGCATCTGCGACTTTCCCCAGGGCACAAATCAGTGAAGGAGGAGAGGCCATTTTAGCCAGGGATCGCTCCCGACTCACCTCCAGGCCTCAGCCTGGGAGCTGCTGTTGTATTTGTGCTTCTCTGCATTTCACCCCAGTTATCTTTTCCTCCTAGAGATCTGATGTCTACAGGTATAGCCTATCTTGTGATGCTTTTGGTTCAGATTGCTGAATATCCTTGGGTACATTTCAACCTTGTTAAACTAGAGAGGATCACCATGCCACACTAAAGGCAGGACTGAGGCCACTCAGACACGTGGTGGGTAGATGGCCGGAACAGGTCAAAACTGGAGGTCTCAGTGTGAAGATGGAAGGCATTGATCACATTTCCTAGATTAATGATTCCCACTTTCATTTTCTTTTTCTTGAAGGTGCAGTGGACATCCCAGGGCACGTCTTCACCGGAGGGATGGTCACCGCTATTTTGGCCTCTGTGGTAATCATGTGCCTTGTGATTGTGGGTGTCATTTATAGAGTCGACCTGGCTCTATTTTGTAGACATTGCATGAGAAGAGATGAAACATTAACAGGTAACATGTTGAAGTCCTGGTGTGTCTCATCTTCTGATTTCATTAGACACTCAATAAAGAAATGCTAATAATCTTCACCTTATTTTAATAGTAATATTGACTGAACAGGTGGCAGACATTTTCCGTAGGAAAATATGTTCTGTGTGTATCATCCCTTGTGAATACTATCTGTGCCACATTTTCTCTCACTTATTGATGCCCACTTTTTTTCTATGTGTCTGTGTCCTTCTCAGTGTCCTGTGAGGAGCATGAGCCCTGGGGCTGCACATCTGTGTCTCTATATGGCATTGGTCACACACCTTCTGGGGACCTTTGCAATGTACACACTCAGTGAAGACCATTTAAATTGAACAGAATTAAATATGGTCATTACTTTAACCTGCATGATATATACCTGTGGAACGTTAAACTACAAGTCAAATGTTCTGGGTTCTACTGCCTAAATTGCCATTGTTTTTTTATTAACTCCTATTTCTTTTCTTTTTAAAGTTTTAATGTAGACATTACATTTTTGCTCTTCCATACATGCTCATACTCCACTTACCTCCACCAAACCACCCCTGTCCATACCCCTCTGCCTTCTGCTCTCACCCCTTCCCATAGGCCTTCCTTCTTCCTCCTGTCCCTTCTGGCAACCATTCAGTTATTTCACTGAGTTCAAGAATTATTCTTGATGTATTTTATCTGTGTATATTTTGATTATTTATGTTTCAGACATGAGTGAGACCATCCTGTGTCTGCCTTTCACTTTCTGACTTATTATACTTAATACAGTCACCTTGAGGGTCATCCATTTTGTTCCAAAAGCCACTGTCCCATCTTTTTTTTTTTTTTTTTTTTTTTTT